CTAGGCATCCTTCCCCACCCAGGGGTCAGATGGCACAATCTGGGGACTGAAGAGCTCACCCTGAGGGCCGCGACAGCCCGCCCCGAGCCAGGGGCCGAGGGAGCTGGCTGGTATACTCCCCCTCCAATTGCCCCTACCCCAGTCTGGTCCACTCACCTGACTGAGGACTCTGTGGTCAGGGATAGTGTTTCCAATTCCAGCACTGCCATTTTTACCCCCCCATAAGTGGTCATACTATATTTTCAAGTAGGTGTCACTGCCCTCCCCCTTTATATATGATAAAGGGAACCTGAGAATTGTGAACATACTCCCCCCAGGTCTAAACATCTCTTGGCAGAAGCATTCAACAGAACAAAATATGTGGTGCATTTAGGATGGCGGTCCTCTTTTGCATGCTGCCACTGTTAAGATCATCAGACTCACAGTGACTTTCAGCAATCCGTTGTATAGGTAATCATCTTCTTTGGCCTGTCCAAGGAAACCCAATCCTGCAGATGGCGGGCATGCATCCCATCCCCCACCTCCTACACAGCCCCCCCCCCAGCGTGGGAGGCCAGTGGGGGCACGTTCCCCTACCCCGCCGCACAGGCACTCGGTGGGTGCGCAGCCCCTTCCCCCACAGCCGCCATCTTGGCTCCAAGAATTCTCTCCAGAACAAGTCCACCTTGCGGCAGTGTGGTGGCTTCACTGTACCAGTCTTGAGGAGGGCCGGTGCCCAGCATCCATCCTGGGTGAGGGAATCCATTCGTTCAGGCTGTGGAAGCCTCATGGAGCTGCAGCGGCTGTGCAGCGAGGTGCAGGCTCTGCAGGGGGGGTGGTTGGGAGCCACGAGACTCACCCATTTCTCCTTGGGAATCCTTGAATTCCTGTTGTTAAGCCTCGATCTTCACTGAGGGCCAGTCATCAACTGTTTAAGTGTTCAGTTATCAATAAGCCGAAGTCTGTGGAAGGCCATAATGGCCCTGCTTTAAGTGGTTGGCTGCTCCCACAGCTCACCACGCTGTCTCTGCCTCTGCCTCCATCTTGGATCTCTCAAGCCTCTATTTCCAACTTTTTGAGAAGGCTCCATACCACCCTTTCCTTAATGATTGCATCATTTTATACTCCCACCAACAGTTAATAAGAGTTCCAGTCTCTCCACAGCCTCACCAACATTTGTTGTTTGCTTATTTGTTGAACTTTGCTATTGTTGCTGTGTTGAGATGATATCTCATAGTTGTTTTAAGACCAACTTTGTTGTGTTTTGTTATGTGGTGAGCTTTGTTTCTGCTTTTCCTCTTTAGAACATCTTTTCTTCCTGTGAATTTTTTTAACTGTTGTTTTGTGGTTCTTGTTTGTGTGTGTGTCTTTGATGGTGCTAGTTGAGTGCCAGTGACTTCCTCTCACTATCAGAGTGGTGAGTCACACCCACACACCAGTCCTTTGTGATTAGGCTCATGTCTTTCCTTACTGGGTGGAATGGAAGCTGCAAAGTAAATTCATTTCTTGATATTGGGTAACAAGGATTGAGTGGTCAAACTCCCTCCATAGTGTTAATGGTGTTGTAGGTTCCTTATAGATTGGTTCTGAACATACTGTGTCTGACACTGCTGTAAGGTTGTTGTTGTTGTTGTTATGTGCCGTCAAGTCGTTTGCGACTCATAGCAACCCTATGCACAACAGCCCTAAACCCTGCTCTATCCTGTGCCAGCCGCACTGCCTCTGACACACCCATCCCGATTACCCCAGTCACCGAATCAATCCATCTCATAGAGAGTCTTCCCCTCCTGCGCCGTCCCTCCACCCTCCCAAGTATGATGTCCCTCTCCAAGGACCCGTCCCTCCTGGCAACATGTCCAAAGTATGTCAGACGAAGCCCCAGAATCCTTGCCTCCAAGGAGTTGCTTGGTTTAATCCTCTCTAGGATGAATCTGTTTGTTTTCCTGGCAGTCCATGGTACATTCAGTACTCTTCTCCAGCACCACAGCTCAAAGGCATCAATTCTCCTTCTGTCCTCCCTAGTCATTGTCCAGCTCTGCTGTAAGGTAGTGCTACTTAAACCGGCAGGCCGGGTTCTCTGTGTATATGTGGATTGATGATTCAGTAAGTGGTGGAAGACCTGCGGGTTTCAGTACATGTGCAGTCACCTTGAGGAACTGATATGTGACGTTGGAGCCAAGAAGACTTTGGTTAAGGGCACTAGGGTCTCCAGCTCATCACTTGGCAGAAAAAGCTGCTATATGTCAGGTGTTGCTAGTGAGGTGATGAAGATCACCAGGTGTGGGCCCTGAAGCATTCTCTCCAGTCCCTTGGCTGTAATGGTGTGAGTGAGTACATGCCCCCAGAAGCCGGGTGGTGAGCATAGGTGCATGCAGTTAACTGCTTACTGAATGGGTGTCAGAGGAACTAATGCCACCAGTTGTTGGATGGAGAGTACAGGAGTGCTTCCTGCTGATTACTAGCTGAGGTGTGTGAGGCATAGCAGGGGACATGGCCACAGTGCCAACAGCTGGTCCACTGGCCCATAACTTTGCACTGCTGGTTTTTCAGTGGAGGAAGGAGGGTTAAAGGATGATGCCAGGGCGTTTGCTGCCAGTTGCCAAGTGGACAAAGTGGGAGGGGCACACCACTGGTCACTGGTACGGTAATAGAGAGGGAAGTAGTGTTATACTCTGGCCCCCAGCGCGGGCACCAAACCACTCAATATAGAATGCTATTTGACTCCAGCCATGACCAAATTTGAGAAGAGGGTGCTGTTCGTCCAGATTCCACTTGGGTAGGAGATCACCTGCCTCCACTCTGGATCCTTTGTTCCATGAGCACCCAAATGGTCGGGCACTGCTGCTGGTGAATATTATTATTATTATTATTCCTTGTGCTTAGTTTGCCTGAGCCCCTAGAACTCTTGACCCCAATTCTTGCAGTTTTCCTTCTTAGATCCAGTTCATGTTTTTCTCACTGTCTTTTCTCTGGGTTTGTCAACACACACTCTCCGTCTCCCACTGAGAATCCAGTGCTTTTCGCCTGGGAACGTGCTCACTTTTCCTCAGATGACTGTCCTGCATCAGGCCAATTAGCTGGGCACCTGTAATCTCTAAATCTCCTTGTTCTCGGTTCTCATTTACTGTCTCCTTCTGTTTGATGCTTGATCTAATTCTTCACCCTCTTGGCTGCTCAGAGTACCAAGACTGTCATCCACTGCTATTTTACTTGGTTCTTGAGTCTCTACTGTGGAGGGACAACATGGTGTGTCTGAATAAGCCAGTCACTTCAAGATTATCCGCATTATATTCCATTTTAAAGATTAAGAAATTGAGGTTTAATGACATTAAGTAACTTCCAAAAAATCTTATAACTGCTAAGTGTAGAAGCTGGAATTTCAATTCAGGTTTACCTGACTTGAGAGCTAGTGCTTCTAGAAATTAGACTGTCATAGGTATAATAATTTTGTGTTACCAATAGAATCAACAGACTAAAGAAATTAACAGTGATTTTTCTCTCTTTTTGGGGTTGTAATTAGGCTTTTGCCCTTGAAGTTATAAAATCTACTCATGAACATTGGAAAGCATTGCTTATGAAGAAATGTGATGGAGGAACTATAAATTGGTAAGGATTTGTCTTTTCTCTGTAATGTTATTTTATTAATAATTAGTAATAAATTACCATATAATACTACTCGGATATGATTCTCTCTTGGAGGAGATAACTTCTAGTTACTCATTGAACAAGTGCTTATGGAACTCCTACTCAGAAGGTCTTAATAAATGCTATATATTATGGTATAAGAACTGAGATAGTGAAAAACTAGAAATGGTACAGCAGAGATTGTGAGGAAGGCAAAGGATAGAACAGAGTTTCTTTCTGTTGTTACATTCGTTTTTTTGTCACAGACACCTTAACCTTACAGCAAGTCCTGGCTTCTGTAGCAGCTGGTTGAGTGACTGAGTTTTTCTTTAGGATCTAAAAGTCAGACATGGAAAATGAGCTCTTTCAGAAATAAAGATTCTCTAATCATCTTGAGAAGATATTTTTTTGCTATTTACTTCCTTATTTTTTTTCCTTTTGAATTATACTTTGTGAAAAACATGTAATAGCCCATTAAAACTGGAGAATCTTTTTTTAATTACTTGTCTATGAAAATCCCGATGACTCATCTTTCTTGTTGAGTCTTAGTTTTTTTATTCTGAAGACAACTTTATCTTTAAACTTTGTAGTAATTTTTATGTAGCTACTTGGTAAAGGTGAGGATTATAACAACAATAAGATTTCTTTACTTCTGTCTTCTAAGCACTGTTCTGTTTCGTATGTATTAACATTTAATATTCATAAAACTCCTGTGTCATGTGTCATGATCATGCTCATTTTACATCAGAAATTTCAAGTGCAGAGAATATGAGTAACAGTCAGAGTAAGTGGTGAATCTAGGTTATAAGCCCAAATTTCAGAGTCCACTACAACCTATTTTTTAAAATCCAAAAAATTATTTTTATTTTAAAATAAGGATTTTCAGCATATAAATTTGAGGATATGCATCTAGATAAAAATCTTAGAGTTAACTTTTTGTCCTATTTCGCCACTTATGACTTACTTTGTAAAGTAAGAGACAGTGGAACTAATTTTGAAGACCACCTTAGTCTCTAGGTAGACATCCTTGCTCTTTAGCACTTTGGAGAGGTCCATGACAGCAGACATCTTTCCCAGTACAATTTTTTTTTCCTGACTGCTGGTGCCATGAGTGTTGATCATGGAGCCGAGCAAGCTGAAATTGTTAACTTCAATCTCTTCTCTATCTGTCATGGTGCTACAAATCATCCCAGTGGTGAGAATCATCTTGATGTAAAACTTCAATTCATATTAAAGACTGCTGTCCTTGACCTTAAGCAGCAAAAACTTCAGGCACTCCTTAGTATCAGCGAGCAAGTTTGTATCATCTGCATAATGCAGGTTGTTAATGAGTCTTCCTCTAATCCTGATGCCACACTCCTCTTCATAAAGTCCAGTCCCTCGAATGATCTGTTCCACATACAGATTGGAAAGTTATGGAGACAGGGTGCATCTTGTCTTTGAACCATTTAGTGTTTACCTACTCTGTTCTGACAGAGTTCTGCCTCCTGGTCCAAGTATAGGTTTACAAGAAATACAGGCTGGGTTTAGAAAAGGCCGAGGCACTAGAGACATTATTTCCAATGTCAAATGGATCTTGGCTAAAAGCAGGGAGTGCCAGAGGAATGTCTGTCTGTGTTTCATTGACTATGCAAAGTCATTTGACTGTAGGGATCACAACAAACTGTGGTTAACTTTGGGAAGAATGGGAATCCCAGCACACTTGATTATGCTTATGCCAAACCTATATTTATTTGGACCAGAAAGCAGTCATCAGGCATTGCTGATGTTAGATGAATCCTGGCTGAAAGGGGGTTCTACTGAAAAGATGTTTCCTTGTGTTTTGTTGACTATGCAAAGGCATTCGACTGTGTGCATTATAATAACTTAATAGCTAACATTGAAAAGAATAGGAATTCAAAACATGTATTTGTGCTTCTGTGAAATCTGTAGCTAGAACAGGAAGCAGTCATTCAAACAGAACAAGGGAACACTATGTGATTTAAACCAGGAAGGTTGTGCATCAGGGTTATATCCTTTCTGGGTACATAGTCAGTCTGTATGCTGAGCGAATATTAAAAAAAACTGGACCATATGCAGAAGACTGTGGCATCAGGATTGGAACAAGACTTATTTAAGAGCTTGCGTTATGCAGGCACACACTTGTAAATTGTAAAGACTTGGAGCATTTACTGCAGAAGATCAAAGTTTATAGCCGTCAGTGTGGATTATACCTCATCATCAAAAAATAAAAATCCTTCTCACTGGACCAATAGTCAACACCATTATAAATGAAGAAAAGATAAAAGTTAATCATTGTACTTAGATCCACAGTCAACACCCTTGGCACCAGCAGTCAAGAAATCAAACTTACCTAACTTGGGAGGGACTGGAGAACATTAAGCTGAGTGAACTAACTCAGTCCCACAAGGATAAATATTGTATAAGACCATTAGTGTAGAAGGAGTATAACTATCCAGGATGGGTGGGAGAGGCTGGAAACAGAGGGATGTGGATGTACAATCATTGGATTTTACAGTTTGATGGGTGGAGAGTGAAGGAAATTGAAAGAATTGTATTAGAATTTTGTAAATAAACTAGTGGGGGGAAAAAGTCAGCTTGGGAAGAGGGAGGAAAGAAGAGGGAGTAAAATGTGCAACAATGTATGAATGAAAATCAAACTTTTCTGTAAATTTTTGTTAAAATGACAAAATAAAAAAGTTTATTTAAAACAAAGAAATCAAAAGATGTGTTATATTGTGAAAGCCTACAGAGACCCATGGCTATATATGGGTTTGAAAGTTGGATAATGAGTAAGGAAGAATGCAGAAGAGTCAATGTCTTTGAATTGTGGTATTGGCAAAGGGTATTGAATATACCATGGATCTCCAAAAGATCAAACAAATCTGCCTTAGAGTAAGTACAACCAGAGTTCTCCTTGGAGGCAAGGGTGGTGAAAGTTTGTCTCAGGTACTTTGGACATGTGTCAAGAAGAACCAGTCAGTCCTTGGAAGAAATCATCATGTTGTAGAATGTATGGTGTCACTGAACAAGAAGATGACACTCAGTGAGATGGCCTGACACTGTAGCTGGTTGCTATCATAGATTTGAGCATGGCGGACACAGTTAGATGGCGAAAGATAGGGCAAATTTTCTATTGTTCATTAGGTTTGCTTTTAGCATGACATTTTCCATAATTAGGGGCTGTACAAACTACAGGGAGCTCTGATAGCCTTGTTTTTAAAGAACTGCACTGCCAATACAAAGGCAGGCAGTTCAAATCTTCCAACTACTCTTCTGGAGAAAGATAGCCTCTTCCTGTGTGCTTTACAGCTTTTGAAAACCCACTGGAGGATCAGTTTTAAGTCAGTTCTAAGTCCATAGCATATAAAGACAACAACAATGAAATAAGATCATGATGGAAAATTTTTCCAGTTCTAAAAGGCATCTTAAACTGTAGTCTTTAATATGGATTAAAGCTCAATATCAAGAAGACAAAGAATCTCACCAATTGGCAGCATTATGATAGATGGAGGGGAGGTTGAGGTTGGTAATAATTTTAGCTTGCTTGGCTCCACAATCAACTCTTTTGGCACCAGCAATCAGAAAATCAAAAGACAAATTGCATTGAGAAAATCTGCTACCAGCGACCTCTCCAAGGTACTAAAGAATAGTATCAGTCTAGGTACCTCCAGTATGCCTGATCCAGGCCATGGTCTTTGCAATTTACTTGCTGTGCTTCAGAGAGTTGGACAGTGACTAAGGAGGACAGAAGAATCAGTGCCTTTGAGTTCTCTTGCCGGAGAAGAATGTTGAACATGTCATGGACTGCCAAAAGAACAAACAGATTTGTCTTGGAGAGGATAAAACCAAGTTTCTCCTTGGAGGCTAAGATTTTGAAGTTGTGTCTCACATATTTTGGGCACGTGGCCAGGAGGTACTGACCCTTGGAGGAAAACATCATGCTTAGAAAGGTGGAAAGACAGTGCAGAAAAGGAAGACCCTAGATGAGATGGATTGACACAGTAACTGGGGTAATGGGGGTAGGTGTGTCAGAGTCAGTGAGACTGGCTATGGGATAGGGGAGGTTTCAGAGCTTTTGTACACAGGGTTGTTATGAATAACACAAAAAACAAGAGACAGACTTCATGCTGAGAAAAGTAAGGAGAGTAAAAGGGAGGAAGGCTTTTCAGGAGGGAGATTGACACAGTGTCTGCAAGGAATTTGAATATGGTGGAGAGTGTAAGGATGGCAAAGAGGGCAAGATTTTGATCTTTTTTTCATAGTTGCTGTGAGTCCTACTTGATAGTACCAAGCAATAATTTATAAAAACATATTCTAGGTTAAGTATTTTTTTTTATTTTGCCTTTAAACAATGATTTGTTTACTCTTAATTACTTAAAATGCTCTGTGTTATTGATTAACAATCCCACTCAACCATTTTTTAATATAATTCCTCACCCATTTCCATTCATTGTCACATTGTCAGTGTTCCTGTTAATCATTGTGTAGCATTACCATTATCACCTCAGGAAGTTATTAAAAAAACTCAAATGCATTTTTCCTTCTCTAAACTTAGGTAGGTCAGGTTCTCTGCAGGTTAGTGTCTTAACATGTGTAACATTTTATTTGCTTACTTGACCAATAGATTATAAATCATTCATTACAGTTCCTTTTATAACATTATAATTAATTAATATGTCTGATCATCCCCTTTTTTGTATTAGCTTTCCCTTCACTCAGGTTAACTATTATTATTTTCTTCTGTTTTTCATCTCTTCCCATCCCTAGTTGTCACCCAAGAATCTATGCCTAAACCTTTGCTTTGCTTTGTGTAATAGTGGCCATGTATCGTAATATAGAGCTCTGATGGCCCAGTGGCAAGAAGCTGCCCTGCAATCCCAAAGACGTGTGATTTGAGGCCACCAGCTGCTCCATGAGAGGCTGGACAGTCTCATTCCATGCAATTAACTGCCTCTGAAAACCTGCTGGAGGGTCAGCTA